GCACGTGTGTGTGTGTGTGTGTGTGTGTGCTGTCAGGGCGCTGTAGTGTGAGAGATGAGATAAGACTGCGGCACATTCTCTCTCGGTTTGTGTGTGTGTGTGTGTGTTCCTTTGGGTTGGTCTGTTGCCCCTGGTGTGACTTCAAGTGAGACGGAGATGCCGGAAAGGACGGTGCGGTGTGGGGAGGGGGTGGGATGGGATCGAGAGTGACCTGTATCGTAGAAACAAACACACACACGCACGCGCACCCACGCACGCGCACACACCCGATCCACCCAATCACCATCTATCCATTCATCCATTCATTCATCCATCAGTCATTCGCTGGGGAGCAAGGAGCCGCTTTTTCGGTTGTTCTCTCTTGGTCTGTATGTATGTGTCAGCCTGCGTGTGGGTAAAGGGCTATTTGTGGAAGCGAAGCAAACCATGTGCTGAGAGAGACTGATTCCATGATGAGTGAGTGGATGGTTTGATGGTTCCAGTGAGACCTCACCCTGACGAGCGAGGCGAGCGAGCATGACGATTTTTAATGCCCACAAACATGTGTATGTGTATGTGTATATCTGTCTGTCTGTGTGATTTGTATGCCTGTATCGGGCTGACGCGAGCGAGAGAGACATTCAGACAGACAGACCGACGGGCCGGGCCGTGCCGTCACATCATTCCCTGCCGATCGAGGGCTGTGCTGCGCTGTGGTGTGCTTGCTGTGCAGGGCTGTGTTAATGGGGGAGCGAGGGGGGTGAGGTGCTGCTGTGGTCTGTCTGATTGAGCCGATCGATCTTCTGTATTGTGACCAGGACGACACTCCTTTGGTTTTTCGCTCTTGTCCGTGCGGTGTGGCCTTCTGGTATTCGCTGTTGTGACTCTCGCCGTGGCGACTGCTGTGTCACGTAGAGTGGCTGCGCGATACTAACACGCCTCAGCCAGTCCGGTGGCCACACGACACACGCACACGACACACGTGCGGTGGCCACATCAACTAACATGATGATTTATTTTTCCTGCGTGTCTTTTTCTCTTCCGACGAGCGCAGCCCAGTCATCTCATCAGACAGACAGACAGACAGGTGGGGTGGGGTGGGGTGGTGTGTTCTTGGTTTGCTCTCAATTCAGTGAAGGTACGCCACTCTTCACTTTTTGCGGGAGGGAGGGAGGGATACCTACAACGCCGCTAGGCTGCTTTTGTGTTTTGCGTGTGTGTGGCTTGTGCGCCCTCGGGAGAGAGGGAGGGGGGGGGGGGGGGGGGGGGGGG